AAAACCAGAGAATGAAGCTATGAAAAGAGTCAGTTAACCACCTGAGTAAAACCATCAGCGTTTATAATGGGGTCTATCTTATACTAAACCTCTGTTTCGTTTAGTTAAATGTACGATACTTGCATTGCCTTGGTCGTTGACGAGTGTACGGATGCGGTCTTGGATGAAAGTCTTGATGGTTTGGAGGTTCGGTGGTGTAGGAGTCGCGATCACCTTCTTCCGGGTTTGAAGAGTGATGAACAGACTTGATGGATGAAACCATCAGGAAAACCAGAGAATGAAGCTATGAAAAGAGTCAGTTAACCACCTGAGTAAAACCATCAGCGTTTATAATGGGGTCTATCTTATACTAAACCTCTGTTTCGTTTAGTTAAATGTACGATACTTGCATTGCCTTGGTCGTTGACGAGTGTCCGGATGCAGTCTCGGATGAAAGTCTTGATTGTTTCAAGGTTTTGGACTTGCGATCACGTTCTTCCGGGTTTGAAGAGTGATTAATTCCAAAGATGTTCTGAGTCGATGGTGATTGGGAGTTTCTTCCTAGTGGAAAGTGAAAAAGAGCTAAGAGAGACATCAGCTGAGATCCTAGGATCTTTGGTGAATGGAAAGTCAGGGCCGAGGCCTGGCATGAACTTAGGGTGTCCTTAGAAGACTAGCTCAGCATCCCCATCTTCTCAGAATCTAATGGTGCTTTTCCACTGCATGGTACGGCACGGTACGGTTCAGTGGGTACAGTACCTGGTACCTGGTACTTTTTTTAGTACCACCTCGGTTGAGGTTCCAAGTGTTCCAACCGTACCGTTATCAAAACATGACATGTAAACTCTGCTGATCACTGATTGGCCGGAGAGAATCTTCACTACCTGCGTCACTGAACTTGAAATCAGCACAGCCAGCGAAGGATCGAACGCAACCGTTTTGAATGAGCGCACCTTTTTTTAACAACCAAAAAATGGCTGTTTCGTGGTCTGTTGAGGAAGTAGGCCTACAGACATTCCTCTCGTTGATAGTAGAGGAGCAGATCCAGCGAGAGCTTGATGGGGCGACGCGGAATGAAAAAGTTTTTCAGGAGTCGCGGCAATAGAGGCGGCGCAACTATAACGACATGTGAATAATCCCGCCCACTCTAAAGCGGTACTAGACTGTAGTGGAACTGCAAACCGAGCCGAGCCGTGCAATACCGTACTGAGCCGTGCCGAGCCGAGTCGTATCACGCAGTGGAAAAGCGGCATAACAGAACTGCTGACTGGGGGTGGGTCGCTGATTTTCTCCTCTATCAAGGTCACACCTCTGGGGGATTAAAGGGCCAATGGTGTCTTGAACTTTTGGAGGGAAAGTTTACGACTCTTTGTCTCAGAGCATGGTATTTTGCATATGTAATTCGATTGGGTGTTGATGCAAAAACTACTAAAGATTCTTAGAACACTAATATATTGCCTATGTACCAACATATAATATACACTCTCGTTTAGATCATCAGAAGACGAATTCATAGATACTAAACATGGCATAGGTAAGATTACATGAACGTGTTGTGAACGATGAGTGGTTCTATCATAAGCATGCATAAAACAGTATACAATACAAAAGACAATATACAAGAACAGTAACAACATACACAATGACCTGAAGGATATGTGTGTTCATTCAAAGAAAGGTTTTCCTATGAATTAGAGAAGAGTCAATTTTTATGGGCATTATGTTTTTCCTATGGTTGAAAGATGGTGAGAGGGATAACTCTCAACATGCCATTAGGTCATAAAGATTATCTGGTCTGGCTGAGGTGTCCTGGTTGCCATGGTAACCAGAGGCCTGGGGTCGTTCCCAGACATGCTGGCACCCAGTATGTTTATTGGGTGAG